CTTTAAGATCTCTTCTGAATTACTTTTCTGCAATATTAATATTTGTTGCTATCCTAATTATTTCACAACCTGACGGCTGTGCCGGAGAAAAGCGCGTATTTTCATTTTTGTCTCGTACAACGCATTAAGAAAGGAAGTTGAATTTTTAACCGGACGTAGTTTCGAGAAGATTCGAAGGAACATGTTGACCCTTTTGTATTTTCAAAAGTTCGTTTTCGATACATGTCAGCGAAATTCAAATAACTCATTATTTCGAAAAAGCAGTGGCTTTAGAGTGATGCACATTTTCTCTTTTATTACAACAAATATTACTTGTAAACAACACTTTCTATACCGGAAGTCGAAATGCCGTAACAAAGGCGTTGTACTAATTTTTAGTCATCTAGTGAATAGTGGTGAATGCGAACGTTAGGCGCACCCATCACTCAGCATTGTTGTGTGCTTGAGTCTACTGCTTGCAGAGGGACAGCAAAGAATCACAATTTTAAGCATAGGTAAAAAAGACAGAAATGCAGAGATTAAATAAGAAATTTATGTCTAGTCGACTATATACCACATGCATTATATATTATTTTGGAAAGTCATAAACGGAATAACAGTGGTCAGAGTCTTTAATTATAAACATTATGTAGAAATACTGACGTTTTCGACTATTCCGTTTATGCTGGCACAGTGACCAAGAGGTCTGCGTCGAATTCCGGAGGTGGCAGGTTCGCATGCGCTGGAATGCAATCTCTGTTTTGTTCACGAATTCCCTTGAGCAAGGAATTTACCACGCTTTGCTTCAGACCGGGATTGATCAGTCGGTAGAGAATCAAACTCAGAAACGAAATTTGCCGAGTTCAGTATCCGATGGAGGTTACTCGTCCTTCTTCCTTCCGAGGTTGATAAATAAGTACTACTCTGTTGGAAGGAAATAGCGGACTTCGAGCGACACTTGCCACATGATTGTGAATTTTGACCCTTTAAAATATAGTACACGTGACTGATGGCATTGAAACGGAAAACAGCATTATACCATTAAGTTCATGGGGGCCAAAAAGAAGAAGAAAGTGCCAAAATGGCGCAATTATGAAAGTGAAGGAAGACCGACATTCCAACAATGACTTTCCTTTCATTTTCCCTTTCATCTTCACAGTACACCGCGATATTTTCATGCGGGCCGAGTTGACCGGTCCTGCTAATGCTGCTGCTTCTGTCATTGGTCCCAAGGGTCCGTGTGAAGTTTTCATTTCATGTAACTGGCATCTGTGCCAAAGTCGCGGCTGACCCCTTCTGGTTGAGAAGATCAACAGCGCTTCCTTGATTTTACCGATAAGATATCCCTTTTTCTGCGCGACGCCTTTCTTTTTCTCCTAAGTTAAGGTATGCTGAGGGATCACGGAGTGTTGTAGTGTAATGGAATTCATTTTCACATCCCGCTTTGATAACCATGGGATCCTTTGTTTGTCTCTGCTCTGCTTACTTTCTTGAGATCTTTTTATTTGCCGTCAGTGCTCTGCCATGTGATGAAGTTTGTTTTATGCCTTTCTTTCCTCGGATGGTGTTGCCCGTTTCGCCGACCGACACTGTATCATATGAACAGCAGAGCTTTTACGTCCGGCCCTGCTTCTGCTTTTCCAGTTTCTTGATTTTCAGATGGTTGAGGTGATTGCAAAGCGTTGTGGTAGGTTTGGATACAATGTTCAAACAGGCTTTAGACACAGTATGTCATAACTTTTCGTTCATCCTACGAACATGTGGTAAGTTGATATAGATCTTAGGTTCGGATGAGCAGCGGGATACAGGCTATCCGGATAGATTTGCCAGACACCTTGATAGCTTGCCTTTCAGTAAGCTGCTTCACCGGGTAACCTTTTTTGGTAAAGTTAACCTGATGCAATTTAGTTCTTTGTGAAAATCGCCTTCGGCCCTTTTCGGTAAAGCCTGCTACCGAAATTTTATGGATATATAGTAACTGCAACTACCGGTGAGAAGAGCAATAAGCATAATCGCTGTTGCGCTTGGAGTAGATCTTCTCTGCGTGAGCATGACTGTGAAGATCGCCAGAAATCAGCAGCCAAGGTCCTCAGTCTATTTCCGAGCGAAGGCATGAGTCATGGAAGTCTACGTTAATGGAAATCACGCTTTATCGACCTATGCCTATAGGAAAATTATATTTACATTATTGTGAAGATTAAAGTGTCGTGTACTTGCCGTATAAACACTAAATTTCGCTAACTGAAACCAATGACGTTTTTCATAGAGCATAATAGCAGATAAGAAATGCTTATATACAAGGCTTGCATTCTAAACATATAGTTCTAAGATCGGCAGATGGCAGCGCTCAGAAATTCTGGAAACTGACAATTAGGAGGGACAGAAATCAAGACTTTAATATCAATATTAGTGTGGAATAAACCATACAATCTGGCATCAAATGCTGTTGTGCGAAAGGAATTTGAATATGGAACTCAAGCGACCGACCAGCTGTAAACGATGCGTTTGAGATGGCAGAGCCGT